AGTCCTCTGTAGTATCACAAAAACAAACCACAAACACATGCTTCAGTGTCAGACACATACATATGAGATACAACAACACATAGAAGTATAGTCAGAGGTCTCCGTGGATTCATGTGGTAGTACTTCTGCTGTTTGTGGAATAACAGCAGGCAAGTTTAGATGATATAAGATATTCAGCAAAGAGTCCAGCATGGTGCTGGAAATTCAGTAAAAGACAACGAGACCCAGACCCAGAAAGAGAATGAAAAAAAAATCCCAGAAAGAAAACAGCAAGGCGGTGGAGTTACCACAGAGGGTATGTGTGAGAACAACATGGTGTTCAGGAACTTCAGATCCTACTACTGTGTGAAGAACTGATAAAAGCCTCCACAAGCGACTTGGATGATATTGTGCAAAAGTTTGAAAGGAATGTGGAGCTCACTAATGAACTCACTGACATCTCAAGAGAAGGGAGAGCTTCCACTGTGAGGTCTTCAACATCTCCTCCTGCTGAGATCTGGGGCTTCATAAGCCATCTGTTGCACCCCTGCTACCTCCAGAAAGCAGAACAACAACAAAACAAAAAAAAGCTTTTCAACAGGATGAAAGCTTGAAGCTTTTTCTCTATACATACTTTCTCAACTGGAAGATCTAAGGAGGTTATATCTTTTTGTGAGTTTTCTGATGCTGAATGAGGTGAGTACAGACCACATACGGGACACAGAGGACATTTTCTCAGTCAATATCAGCTAACTCTAATTGCTTTCTATTCCGGGAATCATATGTAGGTCTACCTTAGTTATGATGTTTAGGATCGGGTCATGTTTGGTGCGTAGAAGCAATTAGCTGCACTCCAAATAATATGAGGGGATGCTGCCCACGGCCGATTCACACCCACAAAATTTCACACCCACCAAATCTGTCAGACTGTGAAGACAATCATCAATAAAGGCTGGCATTATTGAGAAGCATCAAAGATATTCTGCTACAAAACCTAGAGAGCTGCCTTGCTGACTAATGCCTACAAAAGGCAGCATCTTACAAACAGCGCTGCTCAGGCAAAGAACATGGGAGACTTGACTTATATGTGACCCTGGAGCACAAAACCAGTCTTAAGTCGCTGGGGTATATTTGTAGCAATAGCCAAAAATACATTGTATGGGTCAAAATTATAGATTTTTCTTTTATGCCAAAAATCATTAGGATATTAACTAAAGATCATGTTCCATGAAGATATTTTGTAAATTTCCTACCGTAAATATATCAAAACTTAATTTTTGATTAGTAATATGCATTGCTAAGAACTTCATTTGGACAACTTTAAAGGCAATTTTCTCAATATTTTGATTTTTTTGCACACTCAGATTCCAGATATTCAAATAGTTGTATCTCTACCAAATATTGTCCTATCCTAACAAACCATAGATCAGTGGAAAGCGTATTTATTCCGTTTTCAGATGATGTATAAATCTCAAATTTTGAATTTTTTGCTTAGCACAGTTCAGCACTTCATGCAAAGTGAAAGGACATGAAAGCAAATGCTGGAGTTTGGCTTTCTGTCTAATTTGGGAGCATTTGAGCTCATTGTTAATTGAATTATTTGTTGTTTTCCCTTTAATTACAATATATTTTAAGTTCTGGAATATAACTGGAAAATATGCTGAGATATACCTTGATAATTTGATTATAAATTGATATTTATTTGTTTTATTACTGAGTTATTGAATAGGTTTTATTGGCTTTTAAGGTCATTAGTTGTTCATTCTATGACCCTGATTTAAAGATTAACTTTATCTGCCTATATGACAGCATTTAAATCATTCGATTAGTAATTGTGTCCATTATCATGCATATTTAACAGTTTACCTACTGTCGTTTTGTATTGAGATATTGATTTAGTATCAATACTGAGGCACAGGGACGTGTACCAAAACCAAAACTTTAGTATTAAACCAACCATAATCTTTGGACTAAATGTGGAAAGACAGAAAAACAGGCACCAATAATGTCACTGTAATACAAATATCATAAGTACAATGTCATACTCCATTCAGTTAAAGGGTATTGCTTCGCCACAATTTCTTTTTAATGGAAGTCAGATATTGCACTGCTGGTGTGTCAGTCTGTAAAAGCACATTATATGTGACTAAGATCAATCAGAGGGAATAAACAAGTGCTTAGCTTTGCAAATTGCATCGTTCCAATCTTGCTCTGAGAATCTAAGATAAGGTTGGATGAAACATTAAAGGGGTCATATGATGCTTTTTTAAAGATCAAAATGCATTGCTGTTCTGTTGTAAGTGATCTTAAAGATTCCTAAATGCATCTACTTTCGGAAGGCCAAATAAAGTGCTTTTGCTTTCGCCTAGAAACACACAGCGTCTCCCTGACATGGCTGCTTCAACACTAACTGCGGTTACTGAAACCACGCCTTCTTTCTTTGCGTGCACATTTGGGCGCATTATGCAAATATTCCCACATAGTGACCTAGATATGTGGGGGCGTGTTAGAACGAGCCGTTTTAGGGGGGCGTGGCAGAGTCTTAACTTTGATAAAGAATATCTCTTTGGTTTTGAGACTTTAGTCTTTGCAACTTCAGGGATCTTATCTATTCACGAACAGCTTGTAACACTCCAAAGAGAAAGGAAAACTTGAAATCGCATCATATGACCCCTTTAAGATTTCACAGGCAGCCTCCTAAAATGACAAAAATCAAACAAAAGAATGCTTCAAAAGATGGAAATAAACCCATCTACACAAATGAGAGCACCCATCTCTTGAAAAACAGTTTCAGCAATTTCACACCTCACATTGTTCGTTTTGGCAGCTCTAAAAGTGTCAAGGACACAAAACGCGTAACAACAGGCTAAGTGTTAAAACTGCCATAAGGAGGATCCATCTGGTGCCAAGAGAGCTGAGGGAAAGATAGAGAGAGATGCTGTCTCCAATGTGACTGCTTGTAACACGTGGTGCTCCATCAAATATCGCTTTTGTTTCGCAGTATCACAACTGGCTCCCTGCAATGTGTCTCCTTATCTTCTGAGCATCCTGGCAGAATGCTCTTCATCCTCACAGCAGGGAAACCTCCTTCATCCTGTCCCAAAAACAGTCAGACGCACAAGCACATACTACTGAGCGGGCGCGCAGTCTTTATAGGCATGTTGTGACGTGTGAAGACAACAAAAAGAAGGGAACGTGGAGAACCACGCCATATGACATCAACCGTAAAATTGGTCCACACGGAAAGGTCTCTGTAGAGTCAAAGCAGTTTCCGTACAAGATAAGCGGGAGAGAAAGACAGTGTCTCATTTGTTAAGCAATAGACCAGCTGTCTCCAGTGTTCCTCAAAGACTGATTCCCAGTTAGCCAGCAGGAGATGGAGGCTGGAGAACAAATCACACAAAGGTCTTTATTGATCTGCTTTGGGGTCTCTTAATAGCCGAAACGATTGGAAGTGTTTTAGCTTTTTAGTTTTTAGGATGGTCTACATTTGGAGCGTACATCTGCTCTCTCTTAACAATCGCCCTCCAGCAAGAATCAGCAGAAGGTCATTCAGACTTCTTTGACATTCATTCAGCATTGTGCAGTCACTGTCTTGATCCCACTGTATGGCATGATCAATAAAGTATCATCTTTAAAAACATCATTCTTTAGGAGTGTGGTTCTGTAATTAGAACACACATTTGGAAAATACCAAGCACCACTTTAGGTTTACACTAATGCTGAAAACATTTAAGTAAAAAAAAAAAATTAGTACCAAATGATGGAAACGAATGACCAAGAATAACATATTAATAATAAGAATATTTACAAGCTGTGCAGCTGTGTTAGTATGACAATACAGCCCGCATGAGATTCATTTATTGGGGCTAGAAAAAAAATGCATCTAAAACAATCTTCTAAAGTCACAGAATCACATTTTTGCAGGACTGTAACAATCATTTTTGTTACATTTATTGTAGAAAACTGCAATCTGTGGTTGATGGTGGTGATGATGTTATAAGTAGCCTATTACTGGATGGTGTTTTTGTTCCTGTATATGTTACAGTACCTAACAGTACATGTCATTAAATTATATCATGTTAATTATATCTACCTATTTGATCTATTAAAATATGTTTATTACCATAAAATGGACTGATAATAACACAATAGAAGACCACATGATGACTTAAAGTTTCTAAAAACTAACCATTCCAGCAACTGTGGCCAAATAAATAAATGATCAAATTAATAAGTGTAACAATATTTGGCTGTAAAAGTATTTAACACACACACACACACACACACACACACACACACACACACACATACATATATACACACACACACACACACTGTGATAAGGCAACTTAGCTTTTTAATTTTTAATTTTACATCTTTTTTATTTTTAACAGTTTTATAGTTCTTTGTGTGTGCAGAAAGAGAGAGAGCCTTATTTGGAGTCTAATTGAAATTCATATATAATTGCATGCTTTCAAACTCAGCTGCCCACTCAATTCAAGACACACAATTATGAACATCAAGATATGATCAAGCTTGTGCACTCACAGGTGCGCCCGCACAGACGCACTCTCATACATTTTCTATTTCTCCTCCTCACAAAATAAAATGAAAATTTCACGAAAAGGGAATTTGCTTAGAAATCATTTAAGTATATTAAGAAGAGATTGCGATTGCTTACGGGGTGTATATCCAGCATGGACAAACGTGAAAATGCTTATCTTAATTGCCAAGTTTTAAAAGAAGGCTGTTACCCATACAATTTTTAAGAGACAACCATAATTTGAGATTTAAAAATAATACAAATGAAAAACACCCTTAAGAGGTAATAAGGATAGAAAAGGAAGAAGAGGCAAAAGTTGTTGTCTTTTTGCTATGATAGTGAATAATAACAAAAACCCCCGAGCGAAGTGTACAGAAAAACCTTCGTAATATGTTTCCGTCCAAATATTTGCGCAAACAAACACGCCATAACATATTCTTTAGAGCATGAGAACGAGTATAAGAGCAGCACTCACCGTGTGTTGTTCCGTTGAGAAGCAGCCGGATGAAGAAGCGGGTCACAGACGAACCGGCTCTGTGCTGCCGCTGTGTAGTCTGATGTCAGTGATGATGACAGAAATCAACGAACAAGAGTGTTACCTTCATTTGAAACGGTCTTGAACTGATTGATCAAAAATGCAATAACAAACATATTTGTACTGTTTTCCAAAGACAAAATAAAATAACACCTAGAGGAAAATTCTTTTGGAACTCTATTATTGATAATATTAATTGGAAGACTGCTTGGTTAACTCCCTTTAAATATTGTATCAATAACAAAACTAAAGAAATACATTTTAAAATTTTGCATACCATCTACCCTCTTAAATCAATAATTTCAAGATACTCTGATATTGATGATTTATGCTCCTTTTGTAAAAATGAGAACGAGGTGTTATCACATTTATTTTTTGATTGTAAAATTACCCAAAATTTTTGGAAGGAATTGGCAGAATTGATTTTTAATCTAGTAAAGGATAAATACTGTTTTTCTTTAAAGAATATTATTGTGTACTATGAAAACAATGTTAACAAAGGTCTTGAATACATTGTTAATTTATTCATATTGCTGGCAAAATTTTATATACATAAACAAAAATGCTTAAATTCATCCCCAATATTTAAGGTATTTTTAGTGGAATTTGATTGTTTTATATCTTCTCTGAAATTGTTAAAAAACAAAAAGTCATTAACGTTTAAAATATTATGACATTATTTTCAGTTCCCGTTACTAATTAACGTCACACTTTGTATAGCACTGACTGTCTTATGCTATGCTCTGTTTGTTATTTGTTCTATTTTCATTAATAAAAAAAATAAAAATAAAAAAAACAAGCGTATTACCCCACAGGAGAAAACATTAAACAAACATGCATTCCCACACATCTGCTCACAAGTAAAACTGAAAAGGGTACCAGCAACAGCCCTCAAAATGGGGAACATCTTTGTTTAATTACAAACTTTGTAAACTAAAATTAATTCAGTGAAAGGTAATACATTTAGGCCTACTAATAAATGTTGCTTGCATTGTGTAAATAATTGTTTTCTCACTTTCCTTTTTAAAACAACCGTAATATATATTATTAATTTATATTTAAAAATTAATAACTTGCAGAAGTCAGCGGACCACAAGGTCAGGGGCGGAGCCTGGCCGTGGCCACCACTGACAAAAGCTTGGCCACCCCACTCAAAACTGCAGTTTTTTCCCTTTTTTTTCTTGACAAGAAATGCATTTCAGTCATTCTTGAGAAGTGGGACAAAACAGGGTGCAAAATTGAAAAAATAAAACCTTGTACAAATGTAGACAAATTAAACTACATTTATGTATCTTATATGCAGTGTTGGGGAAAGTTACTTTTAAAAGTAATGCATTACAATATTGCGTTACTCCATAAAAAAGTAACTAATTACGTTACTTAGTTACTTTTTATGGAAAGTAATGCGTTACGTTACTTTTACGTTACTTTTTAAAATATTCTGCTGTTCTGTGGCCACGGATTTGTGGGTCTTGTCTTTTTCTTGCAGGACCCTGTATGTTATAGTATAAAATGAGTTTTAATCGTTTAATCACCACCACAGCGTCTTGTCTCCATTGGCCACACGCACCATTTGTGTCGATTGCAAGTGATGTCGCAGGTATCGGAGAGTGCAAGTGGCGATTGCAAGTGACATTGTAATTTCGTTTTTTCTTGTCTTCACCACCTGGCTACTGTTGTAAAATGTTGAGCGATTCAAACTAAATTAATCAATAAATAAAACAAAATAAAAAATAAAGCCTGCAAGTGACGTCGCTAGCAGAAGCGCAAGTGTCTGAGAATACAAGTCTGAGAGTGCAAGTGCGAGGCTGCAGCCAGACCCTTCTCCAAGTGCGAGGCTGCAGCCAGACCCTTCTCCTGAGAGTGCAAGTCTAAGAATGCAAGTCTGAGAGTGCAAGTGCAAGGCTGCAGCCAGACCCTCTTGGAATTTTCAGACGCGCACTTCAGTTTCACCTCAGCATCAGGCGCGAGTCAAACGAGTGTGGAAAAGCAACAGCAGCCAAATGAGCTTCAGTAGAACAACTGTGAACTGCGGTCTGATGAGATGTTAGACTATGTCAGTAAAACACACTTTCCTGTCTAATCAGCCGTTTTAATGTGCTCACGGCGCACACTCTTCAACAGTACGCAAATATGTGGCGCACGCTCTATATCACTTCATCATAAATAACCTGCACAAGAAACTATGAGCATACATAGTTCTGTCGTCAGCATCATGAAATTACCAAAAAAGGCGATTAAAGCTGCAAACTGCATGTATACACAGCACACAAGAATGTCTCTCAAATGCATGTACTAAAATATATTCTGCAATTCGAGATCACAATATAAGGCACAAGCTGATATGTATTTTTTATTTGTAATTTAATGCACAAATAAATGTGAGCACAGTGCACTTATACTAGAAAATATGCAAAAATGAAACCATTTAAATGCATAAAATAACTCATTTTATTATTTATGTCTACTGTTGACTTCCTACCGTTTTCACATTTTTATCACTGTCTCATGTCTCATTCATAAGTATGCAATGTTGGAGGGCAAGCATTTGGGAGTTTTGAGAAGCTGAATGAGCAATAAAGCTATAGTGAGCCCCTTTATTAAATACCTGGAGGTGAGGAATAATACAAAAATTGTCATATTCACTCAGTATTACTTGATCTAATTCACAAATATCTCAATTACAGTTAAGTAGAAATTAATTGTACTCAGTTGTGTTTTAGGCACTAAAACAGTCCAGTACATTATAGTCAAACACATTTTTATATTGAAATAATGAAGATTTCTGTGCCACCCCAGACTGGTTGCTGGCCCCTCCTTGGCCACCCCTATGAAAACATCCTGGCTCCGCCACTGCACAAGGTAGAGGTTCCATCTAGCAAATAATACTAAATCATATCTAACAGCGTTAACCTATATCACTATACGTGGAAATACCCCGTGCAGTACTAAGCACAGTACTAAACAAAAGCTTCTCAAAAGACTGCAACTGCATCTCAGTGAAAATGCTTTTCTTCCAGTCCAAAAAAAATAAAAATAAATAAAAAAGCTTTTCAGTGTTCATGGCACTTGTACATTGTAGTAATGTCCTTATTTACAGGTCTTACCAAGCTAAAATAAATATTACTTGGCTGGTCATGTGATTCACCAGACTGTTCAGGTCAAGAGGTCAAGATTTTGCTGGTTAGCTTGGTCCATCAAGCCCCTGTTGGTAGATGTTGATATTACACCACATGGCCAGGAGAAGAAAAAAAAAAAACTA